CCGACCAGGATGCTGCCACAGGGGACCTCGAGGACACCCTTGCACCTAAGGTGGAGGCAGCCGAAGACAGCCAAAGTGCAGGCGGGGATTGCCCCGAGAGCAGTGGTGTACGCAGCCCTCAAGAGGAAACAGAAGCCGTGCCCTCGACGGGACTCCACCCCACCGTTGACATCTTCGACGCGGGCCCTGAAGAGTATGACCAACACCGACCTCTTCAACAACCATATGAGCGCCAAGACGAGCAGCAGATGGAAAGCCAGGTCCTCAAGGATGAACCCGGGGATTTCCTCGAGTACGCCCCGGACTATGACAACGCCGTGAACCGCGCTGCAGACGATGCCGCAGACTACGCGGAGAATGACGCCGCAGAACACAGAGGGGGCAACCCCCCGGGTGCGACACCTGCTGAGCCAAATGAGGACGAGCACCAGAGGGACAGCCAGGCCTCAAAAGATGAATCGGGGGAATACCTCAACTACGACCCGGACCAGGACCACACCTTAGACCAGGCGGAATATGACGATGCAGAGAACGCGGAAGATGATGCCGCAGACTTCGAAGGGGGTGAACCCCAAGGTGCTAGACCAGCCGAACCGGAGGGAGCCCCCTCAGGTCTCACTGCAAGACAGCGGCAGAGACTGCAACAGCTCCTTTCGTCGGGGAGGCTCCGCCGACTACATGAAGACGAAACAGACCTTATGGTGTGGAAGCGCTATCGTGACGAGTCGAAGCAGAACTACCGCGCCCAGAGGAGGACAATGCGCAGAGCAGGGGAGTGGAACCCCGACATACAGCGTCGACGTTGAGCCTGGTCCGAGTACTGCGAGATGGGAAAAAAGAGCGGCAACCTGAAGTGAGGGGTAACCCTTTGAACGACCACTTGAAGTGAGGGGTAACCCCTTGAGCCGGGATGCTTTTTCTGCTTTTGAGTAATTCGTCCTGACCCTTTTCGTGAAGTAGGTCCTTTTTGTTGCGGGGCTCCCAAGCAAACTCATGCATTAGGGGACCCGTTACCCTGGTGACACTACAACAGGGGCTTTTCTCTCTGCTCGAGTCAAGCTAGCTAAGGGGTTGTCACCCCTGCTTTTCCAAAGTTTGTTTTCGAGATCTCCTGAGCCTGAGCTCGGATGTACAATAAGACGGGCCGCTGAGCCATCCTCCAAATCATTCCACTGCCCCGCACGGGCTCCCAGAACCTTTTCCAGACGCTCCAAAGGGGCTGTTGCCCCCCTTAATTCTTTGTTTAGTATGTTTCCGGATTTTCTGAGCCTGAACTCAGATGTACAATAAGACGGGCCGCTGAGCCATCCTCCAAGTCACTCGACAGCCCGGCATGGTCCCAGAACCTTTTACTGACGCTCCAAAGGGGCTGTTGCCCCTGCATAGTCTCTTTCACTTTCTCAGAGGGGCCTAGCCCCCTTGCAGGGTCGGACGGACATTGGTGTGATTGGGGGGAAACCCCTTCTTTCCAACCAATTGCACTTTGCCTTTTGAGTTTTTCTCACCTCTGGCACCCGCAAATGGCGGGGGCGCACCTGCGCGCGGTGTAGGGGGGCTTGCTCCCCTGCACCACAACCCTGTGGAAAGAAAGAGAGAGAGAAAGAGAGAGAGAAATGCAAAGCCTGCAACTCATTGGCACCCGCAACTATCGAGGGCGCACTCGCGCGGTGTATGGGGGTCCACCCCTCGCCATAGCCCTGGCGAAAGAAAAGAAATGCAAAGCTGCCCAGCGTCCCAGGATGACACCACGGGATGCGGAGTCTTCAGCTTCCTGCGCATCTGCCGCAAGGCAGCCGGCCCCCGAAGAAACCAGCATGGTTTTGTGGCTCCAATCTCCGCCGGTTTGTCCACATGCTGTAGTGTGCGAGGGATGTGGGAATTGCAATGGGGCCAAGCCGAGAGTTTACAGGGTGTTTACGGAGTCCGGGATGTAAGGTTTTGGTCAGCTTAAAGCACTCGTTAGAGACCTCATGCATTTGCCAGAAACCCTGCCTCGGATTATCACTCGAGAGTAGAACATGTGCGTGTTCTGTTGTAGTTGTAGTCTTCCTGCCTTTATCCTTAGTCCAAAGAGCTTGGAGCAGGATGGGGAGATCGCATTCGGTGACGACTGCAACAAGCGCCAGCCTGCCACTAGCAGGTAGGCACTAGGCTTCAAGGAAAGGACTGTACTTCAAGGTGCAGAAATCAGGGTGTTGAGATGGTTGAGGGATGTGATCACGAAGGGGTAGGCAGAGGTGGACAGACGCTGAGCAAAGTTCAGCGTCAATTCTGTAAACTTGTCAGGTAATGGGACGGGGTTCATGGTGGCATTGCTTAGAGTAGCAGAAGGACAGTCGCGGCAAAGTTTTTCAGCCAGAAAGCGGCTTCAACAAGCAAGGCATTGATTTTCCTCCGATTTTCGCGGCAGTCTTCACACGCATCCGAGCAGCCCGGCGATCCTGTGACGTGACAGACTGGACCCGACCTGCTAACTTGCATGAAAGCCGCTCCGCCCTTCGAGCACCAGGGATCGAAGCCTCTGCACGTTACTGGCTCCATGCGAGGCAGCGCTTGCGGAAGTCATAGTAGTTATGGAGACGTCATGTCATGTCTGCTTGGCTGAGCAAGGCTTCTTGGGAGTGTTCCTGCAGTGAAGAGTGACGCTGGGAGAGTGGGGGCCCGCTGTCGAACACCGCACGCGGAGCCTTCTACCCTGGCTGAGAGATTGCTGGAGGCCTTCCTGAGGAGGCTTGTTGCACAAAGATCCAAGGCCTCTCATAAGGTCGCTCCTGTCATGACCAGTGCGAAGTTCCAAGTCGAAAGCGTTTGCCCTGAGCTGAATAAACCAGTATATTGTACATGTCAATGCGCTTCTTCTGCCTATGCGTTGTCAGAGAACATGCACTTCAGGTCGAGCAGTGTGAGGCTCAGATTTCGCACAATGCATGTCAGCTGCAGGGGTGTCAGACTACAGTCCAGACGCTCTTCATGCAGTCCTGCCGGCTATGCTGAACACGTGCTGCGCCGCATGACGCGCATTCCTGGGCATCTGAGGATGGAGGAGGACTTCAAGCAGGATAGCTGCAGGGTCTCGCACCAGTTTTTGCTTGGACAAGGGTCACGGCTCAAGGCTCAGAGTCTACGTAATGTGTACGTGATGCGAGGAGCAGAACAACACCTACGCAGTGACGGCAGACATGGCTCGTCAGTACAAGGCGCAAGCTTGTGGTCCATCTTCGCACTCCGGATGCTTGCAGTCAGCAGCTGTGGCAATACCACGGCATGATGACAATGACGGCGACCTCGACAAACAAGATGATGATGATGATGATGCTTTGATGATGCTTGCGATGAGATTCTTTAGCTGTGTTCTACTGTACCCCCCCGAGAGGTGTATGGTGACGGCAGCCATGCTTCCCTCAAGCAGGCAGTCAGCGATGACTGCACTCCCTGCGCCATCTTTCTGTGGGGGCGCAGAGTCCAATGCCCCCCCACCTGTCGGACCCAGCCGTAAGCTTCCAGCCGCACCGACACTGCCACTGGCTAAGTGGACAACTACTGGGCAACCAAGAACTCAGCTGCTGCGAGTTGCCACATTGCCATATGCGCTATTGTTGCAGCGGTGGCATAGCCGACCTCGTTACAATGAGGCTTCTCGCTTTTGGGTCCTGATCTTATTGAAACTGGTCTTGTAGGCGCTCACTATGAAGCTCCACGTGTATGAACCGCTGTCCAAGGATTCACTTCCGAGTTAGACTGGGTGTCAGAGGTTGGGTATGGCTGTCACCGAAGCAGCTTTTGAATTACACCATCAACAGCTCGGCGGCCTCAGCGAGACGGTAACTTTAAGACTTTGGAGTGGTGGAGTGGACTTGGCTAGAGCCTTTTTACAGTCACAGTTGGAGCGTATTCTGGTATTTTGTGCTTGAAACGGTTGAGAGTGATCTTGCTCGAGCCCTTCCGACCGCGTCTTTTCCCGACACAGGCCATGAGGAGGTTGCAGGTTTTGGACGCAAGACCCTTCGCTGCACAGGCTCTCCAGGAAGAGCTGATCTACAAGATCAATTCCCTGGACGCCCGACATGGGATTCGCGCCACAGGTTTCAGGGTGGGAGTTGGTTCGTCGCTGTTAATTTCGTAAGCATTGAGGGCTACCCTGGCTTTTGGCTTTCGGGCTCGGGCCCTCATGGCCCCAGGCCGAGGGTTCAGGATGTTGGGGCGAGGCAGTGACTGGGCGACTCCTGGGCTAGGGCCTTTGCTAGGGCCGGCTATGTTTTCAGCTTTGACCGAGTTTTCAGCCTTATCTGCCCTCAGTTCCGCCATGCGAGCTCCAAGTGGACGGACGGCCTTGCTTGTTAAGAGAGGCCAGCCTTCAGCGTCTCGAGGCATTTCCTCTCCTCTCCGAAACCTTCAGCCCGAAAAGGTTTGAACCGTCCTCCGCCCAGGAACTGGGTTTCTGTCGCTCAGTGGGTTCAGGGACTGGGAGCCTCCGGAGGCCAGCCGGGTAACTCCTATTCTCCTCCGAAACCCGAAGCCCAGGAGATCCAACTGACGGAGCAGACCGAGGAGTTGGACCTTACAAACTTCGAGCTGAAGGAGAGCCGAAGATCTCAGGTTGGAGGCTTCTGGCTCGGTCCTTAAGGGCCTTAGGGCCTGAGGGCATAGGGCCCCCAGGTTCTGAGGTTTCAGAACTCGAGAAATTCTATATATCTCTACCCTCTCCGACCGAACTCCAGATCTCCCGGACGACGACGACCACAACTATTGTATTGTCTACTGTCTACTATCTGCTATCTACTGTCTACTGTCTACTACCTACCTGCAGCGATTGGCTCTTTGTGGGGAGCAGTACATGGAAACCGGAGAGTGCACCAAAGAGGTTCCTATGCATGAACTTCTGATTCCCAAGCACAGGCTTCAGGTGTTTGGGGAACGTTGCACTGTCTGACATCAGTCCGCGCAGCACAGGGGTTGGCGGAGCAGCGTTTCGGAAGTTTCGGCTTTCCAGGTCGGGTGGCCAAGACGACTGACAACCTTCTGTGCTGTTCCATGAAACATAAAACACCAAAATCCCATACAAGCCTTTGTCGAATGCCAGACCGTACAAAATTCATCAGCGCGAACAAAATTCATCAGTGCGAACATCTTGAGAACTCCATAATACAACGCGAAGCAATAAGCTTCAGAGTAGTATCATGACTTTCAAACAGCAACGAGTTCATCTGCGAACAGCAAATATTCTAATATTTTGCTTAGAAGCGCAACCATGGAATGTACACACCGCGAGGGCAGCGTACACTGTTAAGAAGGGATCCCTCATGTTGACGCTTCCATTCCCACAGCCAGGAGTTGACCCGTGACAAGGCGGAGCGGTCGCGGTGTTTCTTTTGCTCGGGTTTTGGTGGCGTCTGAAGCGGTGCAAGCAGGGTGGAAAAGAAACGGGCATTGCTGTGATTTGGCATTTGGGATCTCGAGGAGTTCACGCCCGCGGGGTTTTGGGGATCAGCTTTGGAAGATCAATTGGTTGGATGACGGTGTTAAAGAAAGCTTTGGCTTTTTGGAGTGTGGTTTACGCCATGCTTTGGCAACACAAACCTTAAGCTTTCATCAAAGCTTTGAGCCCACGAGAAGCCCTGCACCATTGGCTTGGGCAAGACGTGGCGGAGTTGCACACCCTGACAATGAGCTAGCATGTCACTTCTGCCTGACCAAGCGAACTCGACGAAGCGGAGCGGTTGCGAGCATACCCGCTAAGCCGACAGACGCTGCGAGCTCCGTCGGCACCCACAAACAATTAAGACTGCCCCCGCAAGCTTGAAGGAGTGTCGCGCGACCATACCAGAATGCAGCACCAGGGTGGTGTGGATCAGGCACTGCGTACAGCACAATGACAGCCGCGCGAATGCGCGCCCTGCGAGGGGGGGGGGGGCGGGGCCCGGCCACGAGGGGTTCGAGACATTTCGAGACCTTGATCTCGTTGCTGGAGAGGTTCAAGCGTCGCACAGTCACGGAAAGCAACAGCAAACCAGAGCCTCAGTGCACGGCCCACAACCTCCTCGAAATGTGCCAGGATGATGAAATCGACAACAAGGACCAGCAGATCAAGCTTCAGCCTTGGCACGTTTGTCGAGCTCTTGGAGTTCATCAGGTGTCAGTCTCCTGTTCCACCGGGTGACATGCTTAAGACAGAGCAAACCGTTCGTCGTCGTGCGGTTCATGTTGTCCAGGTTGTGAATGTGGCCCGAACGCTTTCGAAGTTCCAGCGCTTCTTAAACAATTTTCCTCAAACCCTGGTCGCTGGTCATGTATGGCTAGCTTAGACAGATGTAGTGATAGAACTTGCCCCACAAACCGCACGGCCACAGCCTACAGGCACCTGAATGAGCGAATGAACGAGATGTCTGGGGAGTTTGCCAACATGCTGCACGAGACGCTGGAGCGCTGCGCTGCATTAGAGCCGTCGAGTTTCCAGATGCAGCATTGAGCCCGATTGGAGCTTTCAGCCTGAAGCATTCAGCTGAACCCCACATCTTCCCCTATTTCCTCGATCCGAGACCCAGAACTCCTGTCAGCTGTTCTCGGCAGGACCTCATGAAGCATCACATCAGCGACAAATTGTCCGATGCAGCCTTAGGCCCTGTGCCGTGTTTTTTGCAAGCGTAGGTTTTAAAGTTGCCTCCAGCCGGATGCAGCTGCAATGGCTGGCTGTTATGTCTGTGTTTATTGCTCATGACGTAGAGTCGCAGTACGGCAGCTGCCTTGATGTTGTGCAGCGCAGCTGCAATGCTGTCATATTGTGCTTGAAACATGTAATGTTCACTAACGTGGCAAGGCCCAGTCTGTTCCCAACTTGGAAGACCCGTCTACGCCTAGCCGTGACCATGGATCGTCCGGCCCAGCTTAGCTTTTTACCTTGTAAGAGCCAGGTAGACACGACTTTTTCAGGATCTCACGACCCCCCAGTCAAGAACACCAAGTTCCCAACCGCGAGACTCTGGGTTTCGGGACTGCGCCAAATCCAAGAAGGCTCCAACATCTGCAAGTCATCCTGTGCAGAGTTGTACAGCCGGCTGCAAAAAGCTCTGCGGGTTCTGCATTCGGCCGACAGGGGGTGCTAATTGCTGCTCAGAAAGCTCCGTCGTGTGGATGAATGTGTTTGAACTGTCGCAGAGAGTGCACGGAGTGGGGAGGGGATGATGAACGAACATGCACTTTTCGCAGGGCCTAACATGCTCAACCCCCTATTTCCCGGGGCTGACAGGAGTCGTGTGAGTCGAAAGGGTTACTTTCAGACTTCTTGGTTTCGCGTCCTGGGCTATTTATTTGGCCTCTCTGCTCTTAAGGCTCTACGCTGTGAGCTCCTCTCATGCTGCGGATGGGTTCGACCAGGCGATGCCGACGGCTCCCGGCCAGACTTTACACAGCGGTTGCAGGACAGACACCAGGTTTCCGGGCCTCCAGGCACCTCCCAAGGCTCCAGCTTTCAAGTGCACGGCACGCAGGTTCGGGACCTCTGCCTTTTGCTATTCCACTTAGGGCTTAGGTCTTCAGGTGCGGCGCTTGCCCCCATCATCTGCAAACGAGAGGGTTCTTCTTCTGTAGTAAGGTTCCACGTCCTACATATACGCCGGGGAGACTCCGGGTGCCTGAAGTGCCACCGTTAGGGTCTAGCGCGGCAACATACGGGTTTTCATGGAGGATCTCTGTATTTTTTGTATTGATTGTGAAGCGAAGGTCGTCAGTTGAGGTGAAAAGCCACAATGCATAGACACGAGTGAGCCCTGGCAGAACCTAATCACGCCCCCCGACACCCCCCTGCATCCTCAACCGTTAACTTCCAAATCCTTGTAGTAAGCTGGAAGTGGCGGCCCCACGTGTGGTCGAACTTTATGTACCTGGATATTCTTTGCCGTGACTTGTTTTTGTTGGCCTGCCATGTTCCGCTGGCTGGTGATATGCGGCGCGGCCCCTACATGTTCTGTGCTCGTTAGACTCCGTGTTTTTGTTTCTAGCCTCACATAGCATCGTAGAAAGGTAACTCTGCAAGCGCCCTATCCTCATTTTGTCGGCCCTACCTTGTTCTGTTTAAGGATGCTTGATGGGAGCAATTCTGGCTAGATAGTATATATGTGGTTTAGCAAGGCTGGTGTTGGACTCGGGTCTAGGTTTCAGCAGCTTAGCCTTGAAATCCTAGTCTAGAGTTTAGCGGGGTAAGTGTATATTTGTTCGTCTTGGCGGAGTCGCAGCAGGCCAGTTGCAATTTTTTTTTTTGTTGGCCCCTGGAGAGCAATGGTGATGTGTATTCGTGGAATTGTATGGGGTCACTAGTCCTCAATAGCTTTGTATCCTGTAGAGCTTAGCAGAGTTGTACAGGCATGCTACAAACTGAATACCTTTTAGCAGAGTTTACAGGAACGTCGCAAAGCTAGTCCATGGCAAAACTGGACAGGACTTCAGCAACAAGGCCTACAATGCCGTTGCCATCAGCTCCAAAGCACAGGGCGAAGGGTCAAACAAGGCTCCGTGGGGAAGGGTTTAGGGTTCAAGCCCTGATGCAAAAAAGGGTAGTTAGCCTGAAATCCAGACCCCAACACGCCCGAGTTGCGGGAGTCAAAACACACTCAACTAGGTCAATGTGAGGGTTGGTTGTTTTTGGCGGGTTCTTCTGACATTACTTAGAGGGCGATTGGCGAAAGTTTGAGTCGTTGATTCTGTGAGATTCACGTGCACTCCTTCGAGCGAATCGGTGAAGCTTGTTGTTCGGGGTTCTGTGAACAAACCCCCGGGTTGAGAAAGCCTCGCATGCGGAAGCACCTGCTAGATGAACAAGCCCGCTAACTCTTGAAATCTGTGCCGGAAACCAAGCGAAAGCGCTCGATAAATATTTACGTAAAAGCTTCTTCTCAGTTGAGGTTCGATACTCTATCCTGCGAAAAAAAGGAGCCCTAGTGTAAATCCCACCGAGATAGTGGGATCCGTATTGTTTCAGAGTCGAAAGCCCGATCTGGCAGGCCAACCTGCCGATCACTGCCGGCCAAGATTCAGGCTGAGGTGCGACCGGGTTGAGTTGTTCATGTTGTTTAGATTTTTGCTTATTATCTTTTTTTATTGTAGTTTTGCAGCTGTGGCGTTAGAGGTTTTTTTTTGAATCTCTGTGTCGATGCCATATGATTTCGAAGGTGCCTCGTTGGGAATCACGAGGCTCAGCATGCTCTGCTTTTCGTTAATTTGCTATGCAGGCCTTGTTGTGGCCCTCAGGGAAGTAGGAGGATTCAGGCTCAGGAGCGCGGAGCATGGTTTCAGGTCCTCGGGCTTCGGTCTTCGGGCTTGGAGGCTTTGGGCTTTGGGGACTGGGGCCTAGGCATTGATGATTTATTTGATCAGCAGGTTTCGGGAATGAAGCGGCGAGGATGTAGGACGGAAGGGAGCGTGTGACCACCTGCATCAGAGTGGCGGCTCCCGAAACCACCCACTGGCAGTGCGGCTGGCCTTGACCGAAGGCCAAACAGGCCCAAAGCCCCGGAAGCCCAAAGTTCCAAGGTTTACAAAACAAGCAGCGTGCGAAATTTAGATGCTTTCTGCTCTTGACCCCCTGAACTGACATTGCGTAGAGCTTGGTGGAGAATTTTTCAGAGGTCTTTGCTCAGGGGCAGCCACTTTCAATTGTCACTCCAACACTGTCAGGATGGGTTTCGGATTCATGGGGTGTTTGTTGCGACTCGGGTCAGGTATATAGTTTCTACCCGTCCGTGCATGAGAATCTCCTGAGAAGAACCGCAGTAGGTCGGAGTAGCACCCGGCGAGCTCAATTCCAAAACGGAAACTTGCCTGGGTGACTGGGGTTTTAAGGTTTTAAGAGTGCATCAAGGGAGCCGTGAAAGTGGGCAACATAGGACAGTTCAGGAAGCAGGGTAGGGTTGAAGACCGGCGTTTCACACCTCAGCACGAAGTGCGGGTCAACGCATGCCTTCCAAAAAGGCAGATGAAGCTAGAGCTGCCGTCGTAGTCGTAGTAGTTGATGCCACTTCCGAAGTAGTTACCAGCCCCTCCCCGTCAGAGCCAACGACATTGTGAATTTGGTAGATTGGGTTCAGCTTCCATTCGTTACCAGCCTAGTTCAAGGGCTGTAAAATTGTCTGCTCTATTTCCTAATGTTTCATAGTCTCGGCGCAACGCTTATTCTATTGTCGTCCTCCTCCCTTGCTGCCGTCTGTTCATTTGAGCTTCATCCTTCCCTCGACCGCCAGCACCATCATCAGCATCAGCCTCGCCACCGACAGCGTCATAGTTCTGAGTTTGCGAATCGTCGACGTGATTTCTCTGATTTTCGGGAGGGTCCACATGCAGCCGTCATTGCCGTGAGAGGATTGTCAGTCGAACGTCGGGCGTGCTGCAACTTTAGCTTCGACATGTGTTGGCACATCGCATTTTAAAGGACATGTCTCTGGCGATGCGTCTGTATGTTGCCTGACTTAACAGGCCTGGAAACAAATTATGTTTTTCACGGGCTCCTTCTTGCGTTGCCTAGCATGGTCGCATTTTAACTGCTGGCTTTTCTTTTTCCAGGAAGATTTGTTCCTTATGTTGTTATGGACCGTACCTTTTTCCTTCCGTGTGCGTCCTGCCATCTCGTGTTGGTTGCCGCGTCAATTCCTTGATCTGTTGCTGCCGAACTGCAGTCGTTGTGAGGACGTTTTCGTCGTTTCGTTTTGTTCCGGCAGCTTTCTCTTGCTTTTGGCTGCAGACCCTTGCTACTACTTGCATGTGTTTTGGCAGAATCACGGTCTCGTTGTTCTCTTGCTGTCGGCAGTCGTGCGTTGCTGCTGTTGTCCCGTGCTTCGAGGGCGAAGTCTTATCCACTTTACCCCAAGTGCTCGTGTGTGGGCTTACCAAAACCACCGTTCTTTCGCGCGAAACGGAAACTGTCAACAATCATTGACAACCTCTGCTGTTTGTCGTCGTCGACGTCGTCGTCGCTGGTGTCGCATCGCCATGCCAAGAGCAGCAGCTGGACGTGGCGGCCTTGACTCCTGGGCTAGACCTTGTTCCAACTGGGAGATTCCCCCCATTTAGGGGCCGTTGAAGGGCTGGCAGTGTAGATTCACGTAGATATGGCAAATTGGTCATACGACTGCATGGGGGTGACTTGGCGACCTAGTCAGATCAGATCTCAAAGCTTCACTGCTGGGCTGAGGATCCAGGTTGTAACGAGGATGGTCTCGTCATTGTTTCGCTACTTTGATGTTGCGAACGTTTGTAAGCCAACTGTTCGGCTCACAGCCTCGTAGGTTATTCAGTGGGTGTTCGTGGCATCTTCCCCGCAGAATCAATCATTGAGACATGCCATGTGCAAGCGTTTTGGTTCCTCGGTATCAGTACATGTTCATATACATTTTTTGTATGAACTTGATACACAAAACAAATTGAACAGATCATATATAGACAGTATAACATGATCTGAACAGAATCTAATTCAACAAGAGAGCACGCGAGACAGACAACTTATACATGTATATGCATATACACATACATACATACATACATACATACATACATACATGCATGCATACATACATACATACATACATACATACATACACACGCCGGCTGGGCGGGGCGTGAACCCTCATCCGAAACCCCCCACCCACTATGTCGCTAGTAACCAGAGAAGGAAGGGTTTGCCTGCGTCCCAATCTGAAAGTGCTTGAAATAGAGGAACTCGCATTTGAGAACCGAGCCTAGCAGCCAGGCCTCGCATCAGAGATCTTTCCTGCAGCCTGAAAGCCTCGACCTAAGCCTAACCTCCACAAGCCTTCAGTCCTTTCTTTCCTATTCTTCCCATGGCCCGGGACCTGTTTTGTGCAGCCGTGGTGCTGGCAGCCTGCGCATTGGCGGCAGACCTGACAGATGCTTGGATATTCGTTAATAGCCTTTCTGGTTGTTCCTCTTGCTTTTTCGTTGTTCTGCTGCTGTAGTCGTGATGCTGGGTCTTGGCAGTGGGACTGGTCTTAGTGGGCATATGGTCAGAAGAAGAAGAAGTAGTGGTGGTGGCGGTGGTAGTAGTGGTGGTTTAGGTGGTGGTTTAGGTGGTACAGTAGGTAGCTCGTAGTAGTAGTAGTAGTAGTAGTAGTAGTAGTAGCAGCAGCAGTAGCAGTAGTAGCAGTAGTAGTAGTTTTTGTAGTAGTAGTAGTAGTAGTAGTAGTAGTAGTAGTGGTAGCAGTAGTAGTAGTA